TGATGGTGGGGATGGACTTGGAGCCCCCCGAGACCAGGTCGTGGCTACTGTTTACGTCCGTCAGTGGTAGTGGTATGCGCCAAGGGCTCCCACGGGAAAGAGTCTGCTATGAGGAGGTCAGAAGACCCCACTGCGAGGGATGGACGGATGGATGGATGAGCAAGGTCAGACGGGCTGGGTCGGTAACAGAGAGGACGGTAAGGTACAAGGCAGCGGGCAGAGAATGGTCGGGTCACACGCCAGGTCAGCAACAGCAGGTCAAATCCAATAGGGGGGCATCCAGGAGAGAGGTCAGGCAAAGCAAGGGTCAGGACAGAGAAATTAGCAAGGTCAGGTACAATCCTTAACTTACAGGGCACAGGTTCACAGATTCACAGGATGCAGGAAAGACCATAAGGCACTGAATGACAGCTCAGGGCCATTTAAATATCCCGCCCTGCGCTGCCATTGGTGCCCAGCGGGCGGCCGCGGCTTCTACTGCGCATGCGCGAACTCGAACGCCGTGGCCGGCCTGGACCTAGTGCCCGTGTCCCTGCACAGGGCGGCGCACTGCGCCGGGACCATCACGGCGGGGATCGAGGAGATCCCTGACACTTGCTTACTTTGATCAGTTTTAAGCTGTGCTTGAAGCTGTTGCCCTGTGAGCCACCTGTCACTCAACCTATTGATTCTCAGAAATAATACACCGCACTTAGCAGTGTTTTTCTGTGTTTTTCTGCGTTTTCGTTTTTTAGTGTTTTCTTTACAAAAAAAAGTCCAAAGCATGGGTTTGTGGTGTTTTACCACACTTTGCTGCGTTTTTCAGCGTTAGAGCATTTTTACAGCTAAAAAACTCCTCTAGAAACCGACTAGTCTTGATTTTTTTTTTTCCAGCCAAAAAACGTCCCAGCCAAAAAATGTTGATTAGAGTCTGTGTGTTCATGGACACATAGGATAACATGGTGGGGGTTTACTGGTTGTAGAAAAAAATGTCAAAAGCCAAAAACAGCAGCTGTAAAAACGTCAAGTGTGCATGAGGGCTAAACCAAAAATGAGAGGAGGAAATACACATCTTGCTAACAGATGAACAATGGACCAACACCTATCAGCTTGCTCATAGCAGTTCATTTAGTGTGAGAATTCAACAGAGGAATTACAAATTTCTCTCATTTTGGTATAGAATTCCTTTGAGATTGCATAATCTAAACCCACTTATTTCAATGACTAGCTGGTAATGTTCAAGGGACAATGGTTCTCTGAGCCACATTTTTTTGGTACTGCACACCACTGCAATCCTTTGAGAAAAAAATCAATTCACTGTTGTAGACCATATTCATGATAAGGAATCCATTATGCCCTTCAAACTAGACAGACTAATTCACTTCAGTAACAAGTGGCAGGCATGGAAAGACTTCCAATCCTCTGAAACCTATAAAGCCATCAAAGGACTGAGTTAAATTTAAAGGTACCCTTAACTAAGTTTGAAGGGAAACACAATGACTACATAGTTCCTAGTTTCCAGACATCTTGGTACCCATTTTCCTCTTTCATTCTCCATTACCTACCCTTTCCCTTCTCTTACCAGTTCTTATCCCTCCCTATCACTCTCTCTGGATCACCCCCCTCATATCACAATACCAGGTAATTATCTCTTATATCCGACATGCCAGATAACTAAAGAGGAGGGTTTTTTTTTTTATTCCCTCTTTCTCAGTATTTCCTTCCCTCCCTTTCCCTTTTTTCCCTTCTTACACACTTAAACTCAATTGGACAGTCTTTGAACAATTTTGTCTCTGTACCACTACAGGGTTTGCAGAATCAAGTGCATTGGAGCTCTCATCCCTGCATGTAATACATTTTTCTGCTTCTTGTCAAATGTTTAATTATTTCTTACATGCTTAACCAACCTTCATGTGATATCTCATATTGTCATCATAGCTTTTACCATTCATGTGTACATGTTCTGCCTTAATTGGACTTTCTGTGATGTTCTTTCACTTATATGCGCAGTATTATTTTGGTTGTTTCACTGTAAACATTTTTTTTTAAGTTAATAAAGAATATGTAGGAAACAAATACAAGACATCTAAAAATGATACTTTCTATGTCCTACACAATAAGAATCTATTTAACTATTATGGATTATTGTATTACTGCTGTTGGTTGATTTTCTTTGGTCTAAACTAAATTCGTAGACATGCAGTAATTATTATGTAAAAAGCAGGATGTTACAATACAGTATGTGTACAACTGTGAATATTTTTTACTGCTTTAATGTGTAAATTTTAATCTGCTGTCTCCTAGGACAGCTGGAGACACTGCTCTCTATGCTTGGCGGGTTTACAGATGCCACAAGTAGAGCTGATATTGTATCCTCTGTACTTGGTGAGAGAGAGGAGGTGTTAGCCCTTGAATGGTTTCCTTGCCCATGTGCTTCTGAGACTCAGCCACTGATTCTGCTTCGTTACTTTGTGTCAGGAATGGACTGGCCAGCAATGGTGGGACTCACCTGCCTTTTGATCTGCAGTACCAGGGCTGGCCAGCGGGTGCTCCCAGCAATCAGAGACTCAACTTTGCAGCCAGCTAACACCTGGAACTGATTATGCTGGGGTATTTAAGGGATGGCCAGACCCACAGACTCTGCCTTGGTGTGTGTTTGTCCTGGGCCCTGTATCTGTCCTGCATCCTGTTTCTGTTCCTGACCCTCTGTACTACGCTGCTTGCTACCTGTTCTGATCCCTGGCTTGTGACCCTGACCATCCCTCTGCTTGACCCTCTGTACTACGCTGCTTGCTACCTGCTGAACCTGGCCTGTGACCCCGACCATTCTCCGCTTGCTCCCCCTGTACCTACCTGCCCAATTGATATTGACCCGGCCTGCCTGACGACGCTTGCTTGTATGTACTGTTATCTGTGGGTGATTTGGTTTGGTTTGTTTGCACTGTATTATGTTTAGTATTGCACTGCGTTTATGTTTGTATTGTTAGTGTTAATAAATTATATTGTTTATCCCATATCTGAAGTCTGCGTTTCCCTGCGTCAGTCACACATCTCTGGTCATACCTGGGAGCCCTGACATTACACCAAGGCCAATCCTGACCAGAAGTGGCTGCACAGGGAAGCCATCTTGGTTTGTTGATGGGAAGGATGGATCTGGATGAGGTTGAGTATTTATCTCTGCTAGTGTTTGATGACAGGGAGTATGCTTATCAAACTCTGAAGGAGTATCCCCGGGATGAACTGCTAGAATGTATACGGCTCGCTCATGTTCTAGTAGATCAGGGCACAGAGTTCTCTGAGGTGCAGCCTTTGATTGAGGTTTGTGCAGAGTTGGTTTCATCTGGTTCCCCCGAATGCAGGGATGAATTTTTGCCACCATTTAGTGCAGACCAGGTAGAGTCCCTGGTGTGGTTATTAGAGGATGATGTGGGTTACTTTCTGGAGCGTTATTCCACATGTTCACCACAGACACTAAGAGTTTGTATAAACGCAGTGCAGTCATTGACCAGACAGGCTTTGTGTAAGCTCAGCTTTGTTCAACCCCTACTGCAGACATGGACAGACTTGTTGCACCCAGCCTCAGTCAGCTTACAAAAACCCAGTCCTGCTTCTAACTCTTCTCCTGTATTCCCAACAGCTCCTCCAGTTACAGCCCAGTATACTTGGCTATCTACCGCATGTCAGTACCCTGTTCCCACTCGCTGCACCTATCCTGCCTTTAACCCTGTAAAAAAGCCCTCTGTAGCAACAACTGCTCCCTCTCCTGTTCCATCCTCCAGTTCTTCTCTGTCTCCAGCTGCTCCATTCGTTTGCAGACCTGCGTTTACTTGCAGTGCTCCAGTAGTTAAAACCAGAAAAAAGCGAAAATTCTTTCCAACCAATACCATCCTGCCAGTATCCAAACTGGTGAACCTGCCTTCCGTGGTTCAGCCTGAAGCCTCTACTCAGCCTGAAGCCTCTACTCGGCCTGAAGCCTCTACTCGGCCTGAAGCCTCTACTCGGCCTGAAGCCTCTACTCTACTCGGCCTGAAGCCTCTACTCAGCCTCTACCGGACGCCGGCATTCAGCCTGATGCCTCTACCCAGCATGATGAACTGATCCAGCCTGATGATCCTATTAGGCCAGTTGACTCGATGCCCGCTGTTGATCCAGATGATCCGGTACCTGATCCGGTGCTCGCTGTCGTGCCAATTGACTCAGAGCCCGCTGTCGTACCTGGTGTGACTCGGTGCCCACTGCCTTGCCAGATGACGCGGTGCCCGCTGGCGAGCCAAATGACCTGATGCCTGGTGACCCAGTGCCCGCTGTCATACCTGGTGACCCGATGCCCGCTGTCGAGCCAGACGATCCAATGCCTGGTGACCCGGTGCCCACTGCCTTGCCAGATGACGCGGTGCCCGCTGGCAAGCCAAATGACCTGATGCCTGGTGACCCAGTGCCCGCTGTCGAGCCAGACAATCCGGTACCTGATGACCCGGTGCCCACTGTCGTGCCTGTTGATTCGGAGCCCACTGCCTTGCCAGATGACGCGGTGCCCGCTGTTGAGCCAAATGACCTGATGCCTGGTGACCCGATGCCCGCTGTCCAGTCAGACGATCCAATGTCTGACCCAGTGCCCGCGGTCATACCAGTTGACTCGGAGCCCACTGCCTTGCCAGATGACGCGGTGCCCGCTGTTGAGCCAAATGACCTGATGCCTGGTGACCCGATGCCCGCTGTCCCAGTCAGACGATTCAATGTCTGACCCAGTGCCCGCGGTCATACCAGTTGACTCGGAGCCCACTGCCTTGCCAGATGATGCGGTGCCCGCGGTCGAGCCAAATGACCTGATGCCGGGTGACCCGATGCCCGCTGTCCAGCCAGACGATCCAATGTCTGACCCAGTGCCAGCGGTCATGCCAGTTGACTCGGAGCCCACTGTCGTGCCAGATGACTCGGCGCCCGCCGCTCTGCCTGAGGGCCCGAGACCTGTCGCTCCACCTGGGGGTCTCCGCCTGCCGCTCCGCCTGAGGGCCCGAGACCTGTCGCTCCGCCTGGGGGCCCGAGACCTGTCGCTCCACTGGGGGGGGGTCCGGCGCCCGCCGCTCCGCCTGAGGGCCCGAGACCTGTCGCTCCACCTGGGGGTCCGGCGCCCGCCGCTCCGCCTGAGGGCCCGAGACCTGTCGCTCCACCTGGGGGTCCGGCGCCCGCCGCTCCGCCTGAGGGCCCGAGACCTGTCGCTCCACCTGGGGGGGTCCGGCGCCCGCCGCTCCGCCTGGGGGCCCGAGACCTGTCGCTCCGCCCTCCGGGGGCCCGAGACCTGTCGCTCCACCTGGGGGTCCGGCGCCCGCCTCCGCTCCGCCTGAGGGCCCGAGACCTGTCGCTCCGCCTGGGGCCCGAGACCTGTCGCTCCACCTGGGGATCCGGCGCCCGCCGCTCCGCCTGAGGGCCCGAGACCTGTCGCTCCACCTGGGGTCCGGCGCCCCCGCCGCTCCGCCTGAGGGCCCGAGACCTGTCGCTCCACCTGGGGGTCCGGCGCCCCGCCGCTCCGCCTGAGGGCCCGAGACCTGTCGCTCCACCTGGGGGTCCGGCGCCCGCCGCTCCGCCTGAGGGCCCGAGACCTGTCGCTCCGCCTGGGGGCCCGAGACCTGTCGCTCCGCCTGGGGGCCCGGCGCCCGCCGCTCCGCCTGGGGGCCCGAGACCTGTCGCTCCACCTGGGGGCCCGCGCCCGCCGCTCCGCCTGGGGGCCCGGGCTCCGCCCCGAGACCTGTCGCTCGCTCCACCTGGCTCCGCCTGGAGGGCCCGGCGCCCGCCGCACCCGCCTGAGGGCCCGACCTGTCGCCCGCCTGAGGGCCCGACCTGTCGCTCCACCCTGGGGGTCCGGCGCCCCGCCGCTCCGCCTGGGGCCCGAGACCTGTCGCTCCACCTGGGGGCCCGGCGCCCGCCGCTCCGCCTGGGGGCCCGAGCCTGTCGCCCCGCCTGGGGCCCCGGATGCCTGTCGCCCCGCCTGGGGCCCGATGCCTGTCGCCCCCGCCTGGGGGCCCGATGCCTGTCGCCCCGCCTGGGGGCCCGATGCCTGTCGCCCCCGCCTGGGGGCCCGATGCCTGTCGCCCCGCCTGGGGGCCCGATGCCTGTCGCCCCGCCTGGGGGCCCGATGCCTGCCGCCCCGCCTGGGGGCCCGATGCCTGTCGCCCGCCCCGCCTGGGGGCCCGATGCCTGTCGCCCCGCCTGGGGGCCCGATGCCTGTCGCCCCGCCTGGGGGCCCGATGCCTGTGCCGCCCCCCTGGGGGCCCGATGCCTGTCCCCCCTCCTGGGGGCCCGATGCCTGTCGCCCCTCCTGGGGGCCCGATGCCTGTCTGCCCCACCCGGGGGCCCGGTGCCTGCTGCTCCGCCTGGGGGGGGCCCGTGCCTGCTGCTCCGCCCGGGGGCCCGGTGCCTGCTGCTCCGCCCGGGGGCCCGGTGCCCTGTGCCTGCCCCCCCCGGTGACCCCGCCTGCCTGCTGCTCTGCCTGGTAATCCGATGTGCCTCTGCCCGGAGTCCAGCCCGATGTGCCTCTGCCCGGAGTCCTGCCCGATGTGCCTCTGCCCGGAGTCCTGCCCGATGTGCCTCTGCCCGGAGTCCAGCCCGATGTGCCTCTGCCCGGAGTCCAGCCCGATGTGCCTCTGCCCGGAGTCCAGCCCGATGTGCCTCTGCCCGATCCAGCCCGTGCCTCTGCCCGGAGTCCAGCCCGATGTGCCTCTGCCCGGAGTCCAGCCCGATGTGCCTCTGCCCGGAGTCCAGCCCGATGTGCCTCTGCCCGGAGTCCAGCCCGATGTGCCTCTGCCCGATGTGCCTCTGCCCGGTGTGCCTCTGCCCGGAGTCCAGCCCCAGCCCGTGTGCCTCTGCCCGATGTGCTTCTGCCCGGAGTCCAGCCCAATGTGCCTCTGCCCGGTGTCCAGCCCGATGTGCCTCTGCCTGGTGTACCGCTGCCCGGAGTCCTGCCAGGTGTGCCAGTCTTTGATATCCCGCCAGTTACCAGACCCGGGCGGTGGAACATTTTTCCCAGCTAGGACTGTTTGGAGCGTCCTGAGGCCGCTCCTTGAGGGGGGGGTACTGTCAGGAATGGACTGGCCAGCAATGGTGGGACTCACCTGCCTTTTGATCTGCAGTACCAGGGCTGGCCAGCGGGTGCTCCCAGCAATCAGAGACTCAACTTTGCAGCCAGCTAACACCTGGAACTGATTATGCTGGGGTATTTAAGGGATGGCCAGACCCACAGACTCTGCCTTGGTGTGTGTTTGTCCTGGGCCCTGTATCTGTCCTGCATCCTGTTTCTGTTCCTTTGCTGACCCTCTGTACTACGCTGCTTGCTACCTGTTCTGATCCCTGGCTTGTGACCCTGACCATGTTTCTGATCCCTCTGCCTGACCCTCTGTACTGTACTACGCTGCTTGCTACCTGCTGAACCTGGCCTGTGACCCCCGACCATTCTCCGCTTGCTCCCCCTGTACCTACCTGCCCAATTGATATTGACCCGGCCTGCCTGACGACGCTTGCTTGTATGTACTGTTATCTGTGGGTGGTTGGTTTGGTTTGTTTGCACTGTATTATGTTTAGTATTGCACTGCGTTTATGTTTGTATTGTTAGTGTTAATAAATTATATTGTTTATCCCATATCTGAAGTCTGCGTTTCCCTGCGTCAGTCACACATCTCTGGTCATACCTGGGAGCCCTAGCACACAGCAGTGGCTCATCACATCTTCAATTCTTCTGCTATGACAACGTAATCTTCGTCTTCCCACCTCCTCACTCTGTGTGATCATAGCATGAGGGAAGGCTCTGGAAAGCTGGGTTATATGAGGAATAGGGATGAGATGAGATTAACTGCTTGCTACCCTCCCTCCTAGATTGTAAACTCGAAAGAGCAGGGCCCTCGAACCCCTCGTGTATTGTATTGTTACTGTCTTGTCTCATGTTCTGTCCCCCTTGCTACTGTACGCGCTGAGCAAACCCTTTGGCGCTTTATAAATACTGTATAATAATAATAATATATATACTATATTGCCAAAAGTATTGGGACACCCCCCTCCAAATCATTGGATTCAGATGTTCCAATCACCTCCATGGCCACAGGTGTATAAAATTAAGAACCTAGGCATGCAGACTGATTGCTTCAACAAACATTTGTGAAAGAAGCGTGGTACTTTGATATAATTCCACCTGTGCAATAAGTCCATTTGTGAAATTTCCTTGCTACTAAATATTCCACGGTCAACTGTTAGTTATTATAACAAAGTGGAAGCAACTGGGAACAACAGCAAGTCAGCAAGTCAGCCATGAACTGGTAGGCCATGTAAAATGACAGAGCGGGGTCAGAGCATGCTGAAGTGCATAGTTCCCAACTGTCTGACGAGTAAATAGCTAAAGACCTCCAAACTTCATGTGGCCTTCAAATTAGCACAACAACAGTGCGTAGAGAGCTTCATGGAATGAGTTTCCATGGCTGAGGAGCTGCATCCAAGCCTTACATCACCAAGTGCAATGCAAAGTGTCAGATGCACTGGTGGAAAGCACGCCACCACTGGACTCTAGAACAGTGGAGAATTGTTCTCTGGAGTGATGAATCATGCTTCTCTGTCTCACAATCTGATGGACATGTCTGGGTTTTTCCAGGAGAAATTGTGACATGTCTGCCATCTATTAACTCATATTTTATATTTTACCAAAAATTAGGTATTTTTTTTTCCTGACAATTTGTTTTTGATAAAATTTGCAATTTGTTTAATAAAAAAATGCAAGATCCTCCATTTTATTCTCCAGGACCTCTGCTATCAGATATATATAGTGTTTGGGGGTTCCAAATATTTTTTTAGCAAACAAATGCAGATTTGAACACATATGTTAAGAATTAAAACAAATTGCCCCAATAGACAAGGTTTTTTGACTGCACACAAGTTTGTTGCCCAAACAAATACTTGATCTGCTAAACTTGGATGTTGTCTATAATAGTGGTATTGCTACCACTATTATAATTGACAGCTTCCTTAACAATGTTTGTTAAGGATGCAGGCCAAGTCCTTAACAACCAGTGACATCACAGATCCATTCACTGACATGGTCTGGAATCCCCAGCCATGTAAACAAAGAAGCAAGGAATCAATTTAAAAAAAAAATTAAAACAATATTTACTTTTTGTTGTGAATGAGTAGGGGTACTATGTACTCCTTACTCATTCACATAGATGGCTGGTATCTGGGGCCCCATATTGTTAAAGGTGGCTTCCAGCTTCCAATACGCCCCTCTGCCTGCATGTCTCCACAACTACTTGGCCAGAGTTGTGAGGAAGAGACTCTAGTCATCATCAAGGTGGTGTTAAGGTGCTTTGCCATGTCACAGGTCCCCAACTCGCAAGGTACCTCACATTTTGAGGGCAGGTGTCCTCGTATGGTTCAGGAGAGGGTGGGGGTAACACTTTCCTGGCCTGCCAGGCTGCATGTTTTGAAAAGGGCTCTTGGTTTTTGTGTGGGATTCCCCCTTAAAATCCATACTAAAACCAAAAGGTCTGGTACAAATTTGAGGGGAACCCCATGCCTTTGTGTGGGGTCCCCTATTAACATCTATATCAGACCCACATCTAAAACAAGGGTCTGATATCGATAAATGGAAATCCCAACCCTTTTATTTACAAACAGAATGAAGCAACTTGGAGCTGTCATTTCTCCAACATTTATGCACACTTTTTTTCTTTGTAAATGTTAGTTTTGCTGTAGCAGGTTGCATACATTGCACAGATGAGCCACTTCACAGGCAGGGTTACCACACCCCCCAAGCAGGTCAATTAAACAATTAAAGTAAATTAGCATTTTTATTGTTTCATTTTAAGCATTCAAATCACTGCTTCCCACCAAATGGAATTTGTTTTCATACATGTTCCCCAGGGCAGTGCCCAGCCACCAATACCTACTCTAGTCTATTAGCCTAGAAAATTGTCATTACTGTTTTTTTAACATTTGGCTTCTATTCATTTCCACGGGGGAAATGTGTGGGGCTGCTACATTAGGTGGGATTCTCATTTCAATCCTTCGTGGTCCTTGTTGGCCTTTTCCTGTAAGTTTTTCTCCAGGGAAAAGAGATGAAGGGGGGGGGGCAGCTGTAGAAATTAAGCTTACAATCATAGACTGTCCGTTCCCCCCTCCTAGAATAAAGCCTTGAAACTGAAAGTAGCATTCGCCAACACCCAAACGAGCAACCCACCCAACTATACCATACCAGTTTTTTGTTTTTTTTTTTGCAGAAGTGGAAGAAAAAAGTCCCTAACCCCCCCCCCCCCCCCAATATGCCCAGTACCTGCCACTTCAACCACTTTCATATCAGCTAGTAAAACAGCCTTCTTTCTCTATCACATAACCTGGGCACATCACACATAAATATTTTCCCACCCACCATGATTATATCACCCCATAACACAAAATGCCCGAAAAGAACCTATAATTAAGTTTAATTATTATTGATATTATTATTCTTATAAAATATTTTAAATTAATAAAAGAGACATAATATTTTTTAATGTATAATACAAACAAATCTATACATAAAATATAAATAAATAAGAATGAT